GACACCTTAAAGAAGAAGCAACCAAAAATTCAAGAAACTTTGGACACACTTTCAGAAATTAGAAATGCTCTGGGAAGTCTCAACAATAGAACTACAGACGTAGAAGAAAAAAATTCAGAATTCAGAGTTCAAAGACAAGGTCTTCAAATTAAACCAATTCAACAAAGACAAAGAAAATATGAACAAAGCCACCAGGAAGGCTGCGATTATGTTAAACGAACAAACCTAAGAGTAATTGGTGTGCCTGAGGAATGAGAGAAATCTAACAGCCTGGGAAACATATTTGGGGGAATAATCGAGGAAATTTATTCATCTAAATTTCCGTAAAGAATGGCTTCAAGCTTATAAAAACTCAAAATGTAAAACCAACAGTTAAATCACACTGAGAGTATGAATGTCAACACCAAATGACTTATCGAGCATCTAAGTGAGACCTGGGGGAATCAAATTTACATTCTGTTGAAATGGGTCAATTGAAAGTAGCCTCAAAATAATATCAAATGTTTCAGGCAAAAGTCATTAACTCAAGTTTTAAGTTCTGAAGAGTGAGAATTTAAAATCTCTCTCTCAAAAGTCTAGAATAGATAGCTTATTCACATTTATACTCCATATTCAGATTTATACTGTGAATTTTTTCCTATCCATTTAATACAATGAAGATGTACAAAATGCTAATTCCTGGCTGGTTCCTACCACATCTCAAAATAACTTTTTAAATCCATCTCTATGAAAAGATATGGATTATATAAGACACCTAATCTTATTTATCAAACCGCCTTTGCTTCCTTTTACTCCCTCCTCTTGGCTTCCTTTTAGCCCAAGAATCTGGCAGTGTGAAAGAAAATGTGGCCGAAGCTATGGCCCATTATGACATACGAAGTCATTTGATCACATGAAGAGGATGTTCACTGGAGGCCCTTGATCAGCCTGGATTGTCTTTACACCAATTTTCCTTGCCCAACTTTCTATGCCTTCCCTGCTGTGGGACCTACACCATTTGCTCTCCAAGCTTCTATCTGATGGGCCATTACTTAACTATATTATTTCTTGGGCAAAGCATCCCCGAGATGAAATTAAGTTTAAGAAAAGCAGAAAGGTGACAAAAGCTCCAGTGTTCATGAGGTCAAAATGGAAAGTCTCCAAATATCATGAGATAGGCCCACTCAGGTATACAGTAAGTTTTGCATATATGCTTTAGAGGTTCAAATCTTTGCTATAATTAGGGCCATTGAAATACCTTCCTAGACACCAAGGTTATAAAGAAAGCCTCCTGCAAACTACAGCAAGTCTTTAGTCCTAGGCAGCTGCAGGGACAAGGCTGGGAACATACATGCATGAAAAGGCCAGCTAGACCACTAAATCACTTACATTCAAATTTTTAAATAACACTAACCAGGTGGCCCTCTGTGACTTCTGCTCTAAGAGAATCTATGAAAGCAGATTCCTCGCAAGCTGTATTCACCAGCAGAACGCTGTGAGCACCAGAGCAGCAGATGAGAGAAGTGAACAAGGGAGTTCACCAGAAAAGGTTGAGGGAAAACCCGACAGAGAATTGACAGAGCCACGCAGGAGAAAACGTGAGGCAGAGACGTTCATAAGGTGATTCCCACTGGGAAAGAGTTTCAAACTCTGGACACCAAGAAGGATGTTGTCACCAGTCTTCACTAGAGCAAAAAAACGGCACATCCCGGAGCCTGGGCTCGTAAAGTCAGGAGGCTAGAAAAGACCAAGGGTTTTTTATTCTGAGATGTTTACCCAACTGCAATTTAATAGGGAACATGGCAGAATTACACACACTCCTGCCTTTTAATACCCAGCTCTTAGGCACTTCATCTGAGCCCTTCATTGCCTCAGCTTGTAAGTGATAGAGGTAAACCAGATGACTTCTAAGGTCCCATCCAAATCTTAAAAAAAGATCATGTCTGCAAGAAACGCTTGTATGCTTACGCATTCTGTAATCCAGTCCTTTCTAATGTGTCACTCTGTATATTCTGATGCATCTATGAGAGCTGAACCAACATTGTAAACTGCACAATTACAGGTTTGGAGCAGAAATAATTCCTCACAGTATTTCTTCATAAGAAATACTCGGCCGGGCGCGGTGTCTCACGCCTGTAATCCCAGCACTTTGGGAGGCCGAGGTGGGTGAATCACGAGGTCAAGAGATTGAGACCATCCTGGTCAACATGGTGAAACCCTGTCTCTACTAAAAATACAAAAAATTAGCTGGGCACGGTGGCGCGTGCCTGTAATCCCAGCTACTCGGGAGGCTGAGGCAGGAGAATTGCCTGAACCCAGGAGGCGGAGGTTGCAGTGAGCCGAGATCGTGCCATTGCACTCCAGCCTGGATAACAACAGCGAAACTCCATCTCAAAAAAAAAAGAAATCCTGTTATCACGTCACCTTTGGACATAATAAAAATTAAGCACAAATCAAATATAAGATAAATCTTTAATATATTTCTCATAGCAAAGAAAAGAGACTGTGTGAAGCTATTTCTGCCCTTTTCCTTTCACACTGCTAGACTAAGCTGGGGGGTGGGCGAGGCCAGATCAAGAGTAGCTTACACAGGAGAAGACTCTGGCTAGAAACATATTTGTGCCATTGTGGTCTGTGTGGGGTAGAGGGATGCACAGTGGGCAGGGAGATTTGGATTCTAGACCTAACCCTTCCAGTAACATGTAACTCCAGGCAAGAGATTTTGATTTTCCTGCCTCCATTTTCTATTTTTAAGACAGCAATAACTCTACATGTCTGTTCTACCTCAAAAATGTGCTAATACAAAGATAAATCATGTGAAAAATTTCGGTTATAGGGAAAAAAGTATTATAAGCATTAATTAAGCATGTTAATAACAACAAGTGCTGATTTAACAATTTTTTTAAAACCTCGTTATCCTGATTAGATCAAGACAAGTCGGAGGGAGAGCGGCAAGTGGGTCAGCAGCAAGTAAAGGTGAGGCATTCCCCCTGCAACCCTGAAGCACATGCACACAGCCTAAATCTCTCCGACAGAACCAGCTCAGCTTCACTAGGCATGGACCTGGCTGACGGCCCCTGGGCTGTGAACCAGCACACTGTCCATCTTTCTTCTTTTCTTCATTTCTTTCTCCCTTCCTTCTTTTCCTCCTTTCCTCTGCCCCTTCCTTACATACATTCAAAAATTTTACACTGAGGTTTTCAAATGTTCCATATCCTAGCTATGAACACGGCCCTTATGTTTCTTACGAATCTAGTTATTTAAATGAAAATGACCAAGACAGGGATTTGGGGATGCCTGGACAGGAAAGCTCAGACAAGGACCTGAGAAGAGAATCCAGGGCTTCTGCTGCCTGAACCCACAGGTAATCAGCCAATCAGGTGGGCCATCCCATCCCTCTTCCAATTTTCTCTTTCTCTCTCTCTTTTTTATATTAATATAGCTGTCCTTTTCCCTCAGGTTTTCTTAATTTTCCTGTGGGTAGGCAGGGAAGGAGAGTCATCAACTGAATGCTGATTATAATGAATAGCTTTCATTTACTGTCTCACTAAGCCTAAAATCTCTTAGGAAAACAATCCTGTAACAGTGGACAGAAGATGAACAAATGAAACAGGAGGATGTTACAGGAAAGATAAAGAGGGTCTAACTGAAGGCAAACAATGTCGGAACTGTTTCTCTATGGAAAGGCATTTCTATTATAAAAGGCCAAACAAAAAATATCCTTCCAGAATAAAGTTGGCTTCTACTTATGTATGGTTGAGGTACAGATATTCAAATCATGGAATATAGAATCCATAACCCCAAACCAGCTGTTTTTCCACCTATAAATGTAAAGGCTGAATCATGCATATATCCATAACAATGATAATAATTATAGCTTGAATTTTTTTAGAGTATCTCTGTTCCAAGCCTTGTGGTAGGTGCTTTAGAAACTCATGGGGCCCAGTGGCAGGGCAAGCATTATTCCATTCACTTTCTGACGGAAGACAGAAAGAGTCTGGGAAGGAAAGTAACACGCTGAGGCTCATATAAGCAGCAAGGGGTCAGAAGAGGCAGGATCCAAGTATCACTGTATCTGTCTCCGAAGTCTATAGGAGTCTATGCCTATCAGATTATGCTGTGCTGTCTCCATGTTTATCTTGTACAATTTCACTTGCATTCCTTTCCACTTCTAAGAATGCTGATTGAGGGGGGAAAAGGGAGCAACAACAAAACTACCAGAGTGGGAATGGGGGTGGGCGGTAAAGAAAAAGGCATGTAAGAAGGAAGAAGAGAGGACCACACCACTTCCCACACTAGGTTCTTGCTGTAGGAAGATACTAGAGCTCTGCATCCACAGGTTCATTCCTGCCATGCTCCTTGGGGCTGCCACAGAGAGCCTAGGAAGAGGGAAGCAGGACTTGGGAACTGCTGCCCCTAAGAGACCTGCCCCTATGACTATGGGAAGGACAGCCCTGGGTGTCCCTGACCATCACTGACTGCCCACAGAGGGGCATGTGGACTCTCTCCATGCTGACCCATGAGTGCCTGGGCTCTGGAGCCTGCTCACATCCTTCCTCCCCATCTTTCACTCTGTCTCTTCCCCCCATTCTGATGACCACAATTCAAGCAAACAGCAGAAGAGACTGGACTCATCTGGATGACATTAGTTGCTGGTATCACGCTATTTACATTTATGAAATACTGTCTCGCGAGATCACATTTAGTAAAACTTTTTCTTAAAAAATAGTATTATCCTCTAATCCGCTTTTTATTGCTTAGAAGCAAAACAAAATGGATCATATATTTAAAAGCAGAGAGAAGAAAAAGGACATACCATTCTAGAAAGGCCTAGCAAGCAAATATCCCAAGAATATTTATCCGAGGGGTTACCCGGGGATGTCGGAGGGGAAATGTGAAATCAATGTTGTTACCTATCATCACTTTAATATGAAATTTAAACCCCAAATACAAGCACAGGCACATCCCTTTAATTTGGGAGAAGCACGGTTGTGCTTGGGGAGCGTACACAGAGCTCTTACCTGGCATGACCATGGTCTGCGGGGCCGCCGCGTCGGTACTGAGGCAGAGACGGCCGCCTTTGGCCAACCTGTCGCAAAGCAAGGTGATGTGTTTCTTTAGCTGGCTTGTGTCTTTGGGGATGCTCAGCTGGCTGTTGAGGTTCAAAGCCTGCTCCTTTGAACTCTTCGACAGGCACGTCTTCAACAGGTGGGAGATGGCAGCATCCACCGTTTCTTCCCAGCCCTGGATACAAAAGCCAATTCTGAATTAATACAAAGATGATAGTGAGAAAAGTGGGCACGTGACGGATTACGCAGATTACTGAGTGCTCATATTCAAGTACCGGGGACCTGTGAAGAGTGTGGTATCTGGAATACTCCAGACTAGGCTGCTTTGGAGTTCTAGCTCTGTCATCTGTTTGACCTTGAGCAACTTAATTCCTCTGAGCCTTAATCTCATCTACAACGAGGATGTTAATAGTCTGTCCCTTCGAGGGCTGGAGATCTCTGAGAAGGGTTTAGCCCTGAGCCAGCCATAGAGTAATGAGTGAGCACAAAAGGAGTCTCGGGCACAGGTCTGTTAGATGGTGCAGTGGGTAAAGCTGCCAGGATTACAGTTTGTTTTGCCTGATCTTTCTGCTAAAGAAAAGCTGGCCAGGAGAGAGAGCACCTTTGGATGCCCTGGGGGAAACTGGAATGGAGAGAAACCCTGGTGGCTCCCTCAGGTGCTGGTCCCACAGCCTTGGCATTATAGGCAGAAACAAAGGAGCTATTTGAAGAAGGACCCTGAGAGACACAGGGCCTGCCTAGTACTGTGCGCTGTCCCGGTGACGGTAAAAGACACAAAGTGGAATAGGCCATCGCCCCTGCTTTTGTTGGGAACAGTGTGGCTGTGCTGCAGTGACCACTGCAATGCTAGGAACACCGGTGCCAGGCAGGAACCTCAGCCTTGTCACAGAGAGGACTGGCACCAGCAGGACTGGCAATGGGGAGGCACCGCCCTCAGGCGGGTTCAGCTGTCACTGGTGACAAGGAGTACGGGGTAAAGAGCAGGAGGAGTCAGTTGAGGAGCCCCTTCTAGGCATCCCCAGGGGCTCCCAGAAATAACTGGGTAAGATCTTTATGGGGATCTGGGGGTCCTCAGAAGCACAACAAGGAAGCGAAGCGTAAGTGAAATTTGTGTTGCTATGAATGTGACTCCATCTGTACACAAAGGCTAGTAAGGCCTAGGGCACCAAGGGCCTGACCATCTAATACAATACTGCAGAATAGTGCAAGTCCCTTATATTACAGGTAAGAGACCTGAGACCCAGAGAGAAGGTTCCTCTGGAACCCCTCATTCCATCCTCAAACTTATCACTTGAGCCACCATTCAAAGATGCAAATCAGATGAGGTTACTCCCAAGCTTCAACTCTGATACGTTTGGCTGTGTCCCCACCCACATCTCATCTAGTAGTTCCCATAATCCCCAAGTGTTGTGGGAGGGACTCGGTGGGAGGTGCCTGAATCATGGAGGCGGCTACCCGCATGCTTTTCTCATGATAGTGAGTGAGTTCTGATGGTTTTAGAAGTGTCTGGCATTTCCCCTGCTGGCACTCATTCCCTTTTCTGCTGCCCTGTGAAGAGGTTCCTTCCACAGTAAGTATAAGTTTCCTGATGCCTCCCCAGCCATGCAGAAGGGTGGGTCAATTAAACCTCTTTTCTTCGTAAATTATTACCCACTCTCAGGTATTTCTTTATAGCAGCACGAGAACAGACTAACACCAATGCCTAAACTCAAACACTCAGGTCTACCTGCACCTACGCCGTCTCTCCCTCAGGCCTCTGCACATGGCCGGAGCTCATGCTGCAGGGCCCTACTCTCTACTCTGTCCCTGGCCAACTCCCACTTAATGCCTTGCTCAGGTACTGCCATCCAAGCATTGCTTGGTGGGCCCTCCTGGGACTCTGAGACTTCACGCACCTAGATGCATCACACAGCGTTCGTCACCCTGTGATGTGATTGCTGTTTGCATGTCTGGTTTTCCCTGAGAGTGCCTGGAGTTCTCCACATCCCATGCTGTTCTTGGTATACAGAGGATGGCCAAAAAATAAGGACAGAGAGAAAGTGAGATATAAAACCAGGGCCTTAAATTTGAGAGGGCTTTGGAGATCTTTATGCCTAGTCCCATGGGGTTTTCCCAGGTTTTTTTTATACAATAGCAAGCATGTGCCTAGGTATAGCTGTCCTCAAGATCCAAAATCACTACTTTTTGGGGCTGTTCACTCCTTTCAGGGACATGTGTAAACAACAGAAAACTATTCCCACACTGAGCCAAAGTCTATCCCATTGGCCCTTCTTCTACCCTCCAGCCATGCAGAATAAATCTAACCTCTCTTCCACATGACAGCCGGTTATAGCTATGAAGACAGCAATTCTGTACCCTCTCCTCCAGAATAAACATCCTAGTTCCCCTAGATGTTCCTTTAATAAACAGAGTTTGAAGCTTTTTCTCCATCCTGACCACTCTTCTTTGAATAGCTCCAGTTTGAAACACTTAAACATTTATACAGCTAAGTAGAGAACCCGAAACTGACCCCAAGACACTGGGCGGCAGCTGGGAGTGCAGGTAGCCCACAGCCGCCCTCCCTTTTCCTAGGAATCCTCCTGCCAGCTTGGCCTCCAGTTGCCTCTGCTCTCTTGGCAGTTGCCTTACACTCTTGATTCACATTGAGCACACAGACACCTAAGCCCCAGGTCTTTGCCATGCTTGCCACGTCTCTTCTAGGTTTATACAGTTCTTTCTCACGGTCGATCTCCCTCCCTCCCTCTCTCACTCTCCCTCTCTCTCTCTCTTTCTTTCTCTCTCTCTCTCTCTCTCTCTCTCTCTCTATTGAGACAGAGTTTCACTCTTTTCGCCAGGCTGGAGTGCAATGGCAAGATCTCAGCTCACTGCAACCCCTGCCTCCCAGGTTCAACTGATTTTCCTGCCTCAGCCTCCCGAGTAGCTGGGATTACAGCTAAGTGCCAGCACATCTGGCTAATTTTTGTATTTTTAGTAGAGACGAGGTTTCACCATGTTGGCCAGGCTGGTCTTGAACTCCTGACCTCAGGTGATCCGCCTGCCTTGGCCCCCCAAAGTGCTGGGATTACAGGTGTGAGCCACCCTGCCTGGTCTGCAGTTGGTTCTTTAGCTCAAAGAGCAGACTCAACATGTTTCCACAAGAGAACTTCCCACTGACTGCCGTGGTTGGTTGATCAGGACTCTGACCCTATTGACCCATTTCTACTGACCCACCTACAGGTGTCACTAGGCAAGTCAGGGAATAAACAAATGATTTTAAGTGACCTTGAAAATCCTTTCAAGAGATTCAAGAGACCTGAAAGACCATAGAAGAGCTTCCTGCCCCAAACTACTAAAGGATAATAAACCACTGATTGTTACAAGGACATGTCTCTACTACTACCTGAATCTACACTAGACTCATGTCTAGAATTGACTTTGTATTTCAGTGATAATGGGAAGAGGTAAACGAAGGCAGAAATCATTGGAGAGGACATATTTTCAGTTGGAGCTATTAACAAAGGCCTCTGGCATATAAAAAAAATCCTTTAAATATAATTTGGCATTTGTAAGCTCTGTGGTCATTTCAGTGTTAAAATAGTTCCTACTCTCATTCATTTAAGCAAACTACTGTATCATAAATAGATTACAGTAACATATCAGATAATTTAAGTGGACATGACATTTAGTTAATACAGAGTACTACAGCATTTCTTTTCCTAATGCCAACTTGCAGATTAAGTAAAAAATCATGTCATGTTTAGGTGTGTGGCATGGATATTTCTTTAATATAAACGAGGCATGATGCCAATGATTCAGAAAGATTGCCACTGAAATCCAGAGTGACTATGCGGAGGCCTGAATTGCTACCTAAATTCAAATACAAGAATATTTGTGATACAAAAGAAGAGCTTTTGACAAGTTTGTTAAACAAAAATGCAACGTGATAATTCACTGATCAAACATGTAACCAACTTACCTATGGAGACATGAAATGAAACTGGAGTCTAGAAGCTCAGGTGTGAGACGTACCTTAAAGGTAAGCTATTTGAAACACCTTTTTGGTATTTGAGTCTGTCACCTTTATTCATAGCCCTTAAATTGGTAAGGCTGATGTTCAGTTTTAACGTCTAAATACATGCACATACCTAACCTTTATCCTTTAAAGACAAATATCAATCATATGAATGTTTTTGTCTTACATTGTGAGAGTAAAGAAAAATCTTAATCTGGGAAATATAGCACCAAAAATTTCTGGAAGGAAATTAAGCATGTGCTCTTCAGTGAGCACTGGTTTTTGGTATAAATCCACAATTTGCTGTAAACACCAGGTTGACCTGTGTAGGGCTTTTAGAAAACAACAGTGGTGGGGGAGTGGGAGGGCACTCAGGGAGGGAAGGAGGAAAGGAAGAAAGGAAGGAAGGAAAGGAAGAGAAGAAGGGAGGGAGGAAGGAAGGGAGGGAGGGAGGGAGGGAGGGAGGGAGGGAGGGAGAAAGGGAATGAGAGAGGATAGGGAGGGAGGGAGGGAGGGAGGGAGAGAGGATAGGGAGGGAGGGAGGGAGGAAGGGAGAGAGGATAGGGAGGGAGAGAGGGAGGGAGGGAGGGAGAGAGGATAGGGAGGGAGGGAGGGAGAAAGGGAGTGAGAGAGAATAGGGAGGGAGGGAGGGAGGGAGAGACGATAGGGAGGGAGGGAGGGAAGGAGGGTGGGCTAGTTAAATACACATGTTACTCTATTTTATCTTCCTCACCGCCCTTGTCATCCTTGGAAGTTAACTTACCCACTGCGTTTGTGGGACCTTTTGGTTTACTTTGCCTAGTTTGGTATTAGTAACTGGATTTTCCTTTGCTCCCCGACTTTGGCTTTACCCAAGTTTCTACCAGAGCCCTTGCCTTGGGAGCCTGCTTAAAGGGTCGCTTCCTGATACACAGCTGCCTAGCTTCTGCAAGATCCCTCCAAGGAACTAGACCCTTAGGGCTAAGGCCCTGCCTGCTGCCTGCTTCCACATCTTGCCAGCCTGTGCAGAGGCTCCTACACTGCACGCTGGGCCCAGATGCCTTTGTGTACTAGTGTGATGCCCTGGTGTGCCCTGTTTCTGTGAGCCAGTTCTTTAAATTTCCAGGACCTGGGCTTGCCTCGTCTGCTCTTCCCGAGCAAAGTCAGCTTAGCTCTGCTTTTTGCTGTCTAGAGACCAGACAGCC